CTTTTACCACCACATCGGCGACGTCGAGTCCTGTAAGGTCGCTTTCATTGTTATCCTTCAAGAAAAGTCGACCCTTACCTTCCCCTAGCCCTTTTGAATCAATCCCCCCATCGCAGTTTGCCACCGTCATCGTCTACGGCGCGTGCCCAGCTCATCGACTACATCCCACAATGCCCAACATAAACGGCCTTCCTCCTGAAATTTTGGGCCTTATCTTCATGTCATACTATCAAGATCTGAAGCCAGGAGGAATCGACAAGGGATTAGCGGCCCTTTGCCTGACGTGTAAACGTTGGAACGACCTCGCGGTATCCACTCCCGAACTTTGGAGTTTTATTGAAATCATCCGCCAGCCCTCCGGCTTGGCTATCTCGTATTCGAAAGTCTCCACTTGGCTTGACCGATCCCGAAATTGCCCACTTTCTTTAGTTGTGAGAGCGGAGCGGCTCAACCCTTTCCAGTCTCCTTCCATAAAAGCCTTGCTACCAAGCCTCCTAGCTCAGTCGTACCGATGGTGTAGTGTCTCTCTTGGTTTCGGTGATTGGTTCCAGCCAACGGATGTCCACCTCCCTCATACCTTCACCACTCCTATTTTGGAAAGTGTAGAAGTGATTTGCGACGGCAACAAAGAAGTGGATCATGATGTTCTATATGAAAGGCTACTGGATGGATGCCCAGCTTTGCGCAGCTATACTAGCAATCAACGAGGACACTATCAGACCGACTTGCCGCCGAACTATTCTTTTTGGGAGCAATTGAAAAATTTTGAGGTCGTTGAACCCACAAATACTGCCAACGCCCTGATCCTGCTGGGAAGGGCAATCAATCTCCACAGTTGCTACCTAACGATAGGACCGGACCACTATGGCAAACCGCAGTCACCTCAACCTGTCACCTCTCCAATCAAAAAATTGACCATCAACACTCATACGGCCTCGGGGTCTCGAGAAAATGTGCAACAATTTTTTCATTTTTTAGATGCACCTAACCTCACGGATCTTTCCATTATCTTCATGTTGGGCCGTCACGGTATGACTATTGCAACCCTATACGACATCCTGTCTAGGCCCCGCCTTCGACTCTCTTCTTTGACGCTAAGAAACCTTGAGCTTTCAAACGACAATTTCATCGATTGTCTTACATATCTTTCTGAATCTATCACCACCTTTAGGGTCTTAAGAATGCCAGAAGGGCCAGTTTACGGGGGAATCAAGAATGGAACGATCGACCTCCTCACGTTCCAAGGCGAAGGAAATCCGAAGGCTCTCTGCCCGCTCTTAGAAACATTGACTCTAGAGCTGTGTGTTAGGGCCGATGATGGTCTCCTCGCACGTATGGTACGATCTAGACGCCGCTCTCCGCGTACCCTTCGTGATAATGGCATTGCCCTTTTCAAACGACTGGATGTAGTGTTTGATTGGCCCCAGGGGCATACGTCGGACGAGGAAGAGCTGAAAGAAATGTACGGAGAAGGATTGCGAGGTGGTGTGAAGTTTTTTCATTGAATAAATCGAAGGGAATCTTGAGGGAATCCCGGCAATGACTCGTTCGGAGTCGTTTCTGCTGCAGGGTGACTTCATTTCAAGAAATGACTTGAGCGTTGCCCGAAAATTTTACATGGCCCCAAGTACTTAGAAGACTTTTTTGTCTCCACCTGACAAGAGTTCGCGGTAAATTTACTATGGATAAAATTCAAATCAAGCCTTGATGGCGCTGGGGGTCCGAGACTCCGAGGAGAGTCTGACTAAATTTAGAAAGGTCACGCGGATACCTAAGCTTCGCACTTTGCATTCCCCTTTTGAACTTTCGCCACCATCATTCCAGTCGCATCGTGCTACGCTCACTGGACACACTCATGGATCCCAATCAAAATGGTACAGCTATGCCAGACCATGACCAAGTAACCACCAGCACTGTTGAAGACAACGCCAAGCAAGGTCCTGTTGACGTTCAAGTCGTCGTCAATGAAGTGGACCTGGGGTCCAGTGGGTCCCAAGGGCCCACAGATGGCATTGGGGCTGCGTGTACGATCGACGTTCAGCCTCCAACGCCCAGGATTGGGGAGGCGCCTCCGAGAAAACAGCGTCTGTATAAACGAGCCAGGATCAATAGTGAGGAAGCGGTGAATGAGAATGAGATCACGCATGGGGTTGTACAGACTTTGGATGCTCTCCCTGTAGAACGACGTTCGTACCATTCTTCCTTCTGGTTGAGTTTCTGACAGCGAGGTTAATCATATTCCTTCTGAGTAGGTCTGTTTAACAACCATCATTCGTCAAACTATCGTGATTCAGTGGCTGAGAATGGGTTGTCATATACTCGTATCTTCCAAGAGGACGGGTTCACGGGCGCTGGGAGGCTATGTCTCGCTGCCCTTGCCGAGAAATCGCGAAAGAATACTCAAGATAATTCCTACGTAACTATCGTATTTGATAAAAATCATACCACGCTAACACAGTTGCGATAGGTGTTCTGCGTCGTCGAAGGCACCGTACATGTCCAAATCCACCATACGACAGGTGTCGTCAGGCAGGGTGGGATGTTCCACGTACCCCGAGGTATCTTCTCTCTCCTTTGTACTACGCTCCACATCAACGGCACTCACCTTCCTTTCCTATCATGACAGGGAACACCTACGCAATAAAGAACCCATCCAGCACAGACTCCGCCCACCTAGTCTTCATGCAAGCCCGTGTAA